ACACACACACACACACACACACACACACACACACACACGACTGAGTTTGGACCCAGAGTTCACAGTGCAACACCCTGTCAAACTCTGTGATGGTGGCTAGTTGCAGTCCAAGATGAATGTAAACAGCTGCAAAACAGCTGCTGTATTTGTGACTAAGTAAATAAAACAGAGACAGAGCAGTGGCCGGGCTCTGTGCGTGGACGTGCTGCAGTGTGTTGAAGCACAGGAAACAGGTATATGAACGGCTATGACCAAACCTGTCAGTCACAGGTTGCCCCACCCCAAATCCTACCCGCACTTCCTGTTCATCTCTGACACAGGTGGGATCTGCTTTCAAAAGAAACGTCCTGTTTTTTTCAGGCTTTAAGCAGCAACTGAGTCCAGAAACAGCTTACTGAGGTCATAGGTTAGCTGAGCAGGATGCTCATTACCTCATAAATTTCAGAGGAGTTGCTTCCTGCTGGACGTTAGGGAGAGTAGGTCAGGGGAGGTCAGTTCATCTTCTGTATACAGTCTTTAGGCCCACACTCAGCAGCCCAGTGGGAAACATCCGTCTTAGTTTGGATTTATTACGAGACTCGAGCCGGTGACCAAAGGACTGCAGACTTATCTTCTGAAGTATGGACGGAGCTTTAATCCAGGAGTTTAATCAGATCCTGCATCCTCTCTGATGCAGGGGGAAACAGGAAGTTTATTTTGAAAGTGACCAATCAGAGTAAGAGAGCAGCAGGAACGAGGAGAGGGTTTATATACTTCCTCAGGCCAAATTTTTAAAATATTTATTAAATATTTATTCATACAGTGCTTTATTCTAATGATTATGAGAGTCGGTGTAACGAGGGCCACACAACACTTTACAACACACCCAGCAGCAGTTAAGAAGTATTTAGCAGAAAGCCAAAAATATGCCACAGATGAAGGTTTATGGGATGTTTTTATAGTTGTTATAGCTGCCGGCTGCTCGTCCTGATTACTTACGAGCTTCCTTATGATCGTCAGTGTGTGTCTCCAATTTGCAAATTGTTCCAAAACCCTCAATGTGCATGACACACTTCATTTGACACGCATGCAAACAAAGCAACCTTTGTATTTCATACCACACAGATTTTAATATTTAATGAATGAATGAATGAATGAAAGGCTTTATTGAATGAAAGTCACACATATCTGTAGTAAAAAGTCATCTTTCAGAAAAACTACTGTAACTTCCAATCAAGAGTCAGTCAAACGACCTCCAGAGGGTCTCTGTCAGCCTTCGACAGGACCACTGTTACGCTATTGGGCAGGCGCACGGCTAGTCTCTCCCTGAACACAGCCAAGTAACCCCGCTCGGGTTACACAGATTTTAATATTTCATATTCCATATTTCAGATGAAAGGACACAGACAGGAAGTGATTTGCTCTGTTTATTTCACTGAAGTCAGAATAAACAAAACACCAGTTTACAGCTTTATGATGAAATCATTAACGTTAACACGTTTATGTGTCACGTCTAACGTACATTAGCACTTTATAAAAACCCCAGTGAGTCTTGCTGACTCACACACAGAGTGCAAAGGTTTAGGTGTGTGCATGAAGCGGTATCACTAAGCTATAAAATAATAATAATAATAATAATCACAATATCAGTATGCTAAAGTCAGGAAGATAAAGAAACTCTTTTAGGATTTTAAATTAGGTCAAAATCACAGACTATATGTAAAAGATTGGAACTTCATTCTTGGTAACAACCAACAGGGAGCAACTCTTGTTTCACAGATGTATGTGTTGATATGCTCCTCCTCCCTTCCCCTTTGACCTCAGTGAATCGTTTATCACTGAGTCGTGTTTAATAAATCGTGAGACTAATGAAGGTCTAGAGTCAAACTAGTGATGACTGTGTCTATCTTTTTATACAGTCTGTGACTGAAACCACAGAGTGTGATTATATTTTTCACTTTAACAGATGAGCTTTGTCCCCACTTCCTTTTATTGGGGGTCCTTTTATATGGCCAACGCCCAGCCTGTAATTAGAGCAGCAAACACAAGTCGGACACTAGCTAACTATGTGACACACTGATGGATGATGTGGTTTTGGCCTCTGGGATGGACCAGTAAAGGAATGTTAACAAAGCCACGATGTGAAGTCATGACAGTAGATCCGGTCCCCGCTCTGGGAGTCGGGAACCCTACATGCGCGCCTGCTGACCTCAGAGCTACATGTTGGATTCGCTGTGGCCGCGTTTGTCATTCTCGAAGTCGCTGTCCTGGGAGATGAGTTTGTAAGGTTTCTTTCTCTCCTTCTCCTCCAGCACTGAGTTTCCCATCTCCACATCTTTGCTGCGGAGCTCGTGCCGGGACAGGAACTCGACAATGCCAGCGCCAATCGAGTCGCCCAGGACATTGGTGGTAGTGCGCAGACGATCCCTATAAGAAACCAGAGGTCAGAGGGCAAAGACACACAAAGGGCGAGCACGTGTGCTTTCAGACTGTCCATTCAAAGGAAGAAATCTTTAAAAGATCCACAGAAACACCTTCATTAATCTCAAGATTTATTAAACACTAATTGTGTTCTGGAAGCCTGCTGAAAGCAGAATAAACAGTTTTTATTCTGTGGAAATGGATGCCGCAGAGGTTGTTCCTGTTCAGAAACACTAAGCTTTCTGGAACTTTGTGGATTTAATCTTTATCACAGGTCTACAGTCTGTGATTGAGCTTTCAGAGCGGAGCATGTGAAAGGATTGGCCTACTTTCAAACGTCATGCACACCTCTCTGAACTTTCTGCTTCCTGCAGGCTTCCATACGCTCTCATTACACAGACATATGAGTGTCTGAAGCTGCAAACAGCAAAACACGGAGAACAGCAGTTGGTCTGAGAGCCAGTTGGTTTTCTGGTTAGGTTTTAAAAACAGCAACCACAGACCAAAAAGCTGAACATAGCAGCTGAACAAATCTTAGAAATATGGTATCTAACCAGATTCTTACTCTGGATGGCATTACCTTGGCCTCCAGTAACACTGTGAGGAACCTTGGAGTCATTTTTGACCAGGATATGTCATTTAATACACGTATTAAACAAATATGTAGAACTGTTTTCTTCCATTTGTGCAACATCTCTAAAATTAGAAATATCCTGTCTCAGAGTGACGCTGAAAAACTACTTAATGCATTTATCACATTTATTACTTTTAGGCTGGACTACTGTAATTCGTTATTCGCTCTTCCCTGAAAAGCCCCATCTTATCTTAATGACCTTGTAGTACCATATCACCCCATTAGAGCACTTCGCTCTCGCACTGCAGGCTTTCTTGTTGTTCCTAAAGTATTTAAAAGTAGAATGGGAGAGCCTTCAGTTTTCAGGCCCCTCTTCTGTGGAACCAGCTTCTAGTTTGGATTCAGGAGACAGACACTATCTCTACTTTTAAGATTAGGCTTCAAACTTTCCCCAGGCTGCTGGGGCATTCCCATGATGCACTGAGTGTTTCTTCTTTACGCATCACATGTTAATAGACCTCTCTGCATTGAATCATACTTGTTTTTACTCTCTGGCTCTCTTCCACAGCATGTCCTTGTCCTGTCTTCCTCCCCTCACCCTAAACGGTGGTGGCAGATTGCTGCCCCTCCCTGAGCCTGGTTCTGCTGGAAGTTAAAACTTTTCCTTCCCAATGTCACCAAAGTGCTTGCTCATAGGGGGTCATATGATTGTTGGAGTTTTCTCTGTTTTCTCTGTATTATTGCAAAATATTATACTACTACTAATAATAATGCAATATAAAGTGCCTTGAGGGAACTGTTGTGATTTGGTGTTGTAAAAAAACAGAATTGAACAGAGTTGAATTAAATTGAATTGAATAGATGGTTGGATGGACAGATGAATGGATGGGCGATGGATATTCGGACTTTGTGACATAAACCAGGATAACTGAGTAGAGTTGGCATATCACTTCCTTCTGTTCCAGGTGGAAAGTCCTTCTGAAGCATCCTAGTTAGAGCAGAGTTTTTTCTTATTACCCCAGTTAGCTGAGTAATTTCAGGGAAGGGTATTCTAATTGAAACGATTAATTTGGGAAACCTAATTATGTTTCTATGTTAAAACTCACTGCAAAAATATTTAATACAAAAAGGGAAGATGTGGAGCGAGACTCATGGGAGCGGAAAAATGTGTCACTAGGTGGTTGTAGACATGGAGCTGTATTTGACCTTTAAATGAGAGATAATTCATGTACGAGTACTTTACACAACAGCGTTTATACTTGATAAGACTCCTTTCACATTAGCACTGAAAAAGAATGTTTTCAAAAGCGAAAGCGTTCTGGAAAGCTACTGATTACAGAGTGGTGAAATAATGTTATTGTTAAGGTAACATCAACACTAACCTCCCTGTGGATCCAATCATCCAGGTACTCAAATCCCACAAAGCTGATCTTGTTCATTAAACAGTTTGTTAAACAGTAGCTTTATTGAATGTATGTGTATGCAATGTTTTCTAATGTCGTCTACTGTAAGGATGTCTAACTCATATTACTTGATGGATCACTTTGATTTTAAATGGATCACACCAGTGAAACTCGCCTTTCTGTCAGTGTGAAGAGGTTTACCTGCGCGTTTAATGCCTGAAATATTTTAGTATAAGAAAAAGAAGTGTAAGTTTAACAGGATGTCTCAGTTTTTCTGCTTTTCTGCATGATAAATAAAAGTGGCCGTAGAAAATGAAAGAAATATGCCTTGCATATTCCTGCAACTGTCCTTTGCAGTTTCAAATGTAAGAACTAAATGTGTAAAACAACAGAGAAGGTTCTGCTAGCTCATTGCCCAGAGTGAGCTGTAGTGATCAAATACAACGTTTTTCGTAGTTTCTTTCTTTCTGTCTTTATTACCTTGGACCCATCATAAACACTTTGAGGCAACTGCTGTGATTTTGCATGATATGAATACAATTTAATTAAATATAAATTTGAAATTTCTATCGTAGATGGTGAAAAACAAGATGTTTTCTGATAATGTTTATCTCTTACTTAGATACTTTGGTGTAGTATGAATGGCCATATCAGTAGGAAAGGCTGTGAAACTTGTAAAACATATGAAAATACTGTTAAAAGTCCAAAATCTATGCTTTCCTTCACATTTTCCAAAGCCATCCAGTGGCCTTATGTTTAAAGGCCCTGGTCTTGGTGAAGCATGTGTAATGGTCCGAGTACAGCCCTGTGAAACACCAAGACTCTCTGTTCAAACTGGAATCTGTGGGATAAATCGGAGTCTAACCAGCACAACGGAGGTCCTTTAAGCACTAAAACAGTGAAGCCACAGGCGATGAAGACAAACACAACAAAGTGCTGATGAAGATCAGCACTTGTGAAGGTCTTGTTGCCTACATTTACATGATGAGTGAGCTGGTCTGCCAACAGTGATTGCCAACAAGAAGGTACTTACAGGAACCAATCAACTGCAATGATGAGAGTGATGTCATCAGTGGGAAGTCCAACGGAGGTCAGCACAATCACCATGGTAACCAGACCTGCCTGAGGGATGCCGGCAGCACCAATGCTGGCTGCAGTTGCTGTGATACTTTCAGAAGGAGAAAGAGAGATAAATCCACAGAGTTTGAGTTTGAAGACGCCTGTTAGGACTTTAGTTACCTGATGGTGATAATCTGTCCAAAGTTCATCTCCATGTTGTTGACCTGAGCAATGAAGATGGCTGCCAATGCTTCATACAGTGCGGTTCCGTCCATGTTGATGGTGGCGCCCACGGGCAGCACGAAGCGAGTGATCCTCTTATCGATTCTGTTGTTTTCTTCCAGACATTTAAAGGTGACTGGCAGCGTGGCGGAGCTGCAAGACAGCAGAGAGGAGGAGGGTTTTAAAGCATCCACAGAAGGAGAGAAAAGTGTTTCAGACACACTATTATAGTGCTCAGCACCGAGAGCGGGTTCATTTATTACGCCTCATTTACAGACATCTCTAGTTGAAACAATAAATGTGGTAAAAATAACGGAACATGTCAACAAGAAGAATAAGATTGTGTTTTAGAAAGAGGTTTTCACAGAACAATAATCAGCTCATATATCTACGACAACAGCTGCAACTACGTACTGCTCCTGGAACTAAACCATTTACTGCAACTACAGCAGCAAAACAACTGCTGACATTACCCAAACCACTGCAACTGAACAGCAACAACACACCCTACAGCAACATGTCAACTAAACTGAAAAGTGCAACAAACCACCTACAACCAGTTAACCAACTATTCAACTAAACCACCTCTGAACAATGACGGCCATACTGAGATAAGTTGCTTTGGGTATGCTACTGTCAGCTGCTGTTAGTGACTGTTAGCTTCTGTTAACTGCTTTTAGCTGCTGTTAGTGAAACAGATTTTGCAGTAGATTTAAACTTATTGCACGCTGAGCACATTAGAAGCAAAGTGTCATTTTTAGTACATCTGATCCTAACATTAGCTAGCATCATGTTAGAAGCAGCTGTTTTTGTTTAGCTGGCTCATTTTCAGCTGTCTGGAGATGGAAGGATCATATATCTAATAACCACATCCACAAAAACGGGAGATGTCCTTCCACAGCTTCCACAAACGCTCCTACGTAACAGATGAATCTTAAGTTTATGAGAACAGATCACTTTGTCAGAAAATCTAATTACGGACTAATCAGTGTATATTTATGAGTATAGTATATGTTTTTTGTAAGTAACCTCAAACATGAACAAACCTTGACAAAGTTAAAGCCTGAAAACTAAATGGTGAGATGGAAGACATTTATTTGGATCTTTGAGGGCCCTCAGATATGAATTAATGTTTGATTGACAGAAATTTCACCCAAACGATCCAGTTTACATGTACCTGAAGTCCATATAAACTGGACTATCTTAGTTGTAGTTTTTTAAGTTTCAGCCACATTTGGCTCACTCATTAGACAACGAAACCAACCAATGCAACTTACATCAACCATTACATCTAGAGCTACAACTATTTACAACAATGACTGCAACTAGAATGCACCAGTTAAGGTCAAATATTTCTGTCTTTTGAGTAACTTGGCTCATCTTCTCTGGCAAAAGTATATTTAATGAACAAAAAGAAAATTGGTGTGTTTTGGTGTTTCTGTCAATAGAAAACACCAAAACTTCCATTTGTTGAAGTTTGGTAGAAGTTCCTCACCTGGAGGAGGTCCCCAGAGCCGTTACCAAAGCTTGCAGGAGCCCTGCGATGAAGATGAAGGGGTTCTGGCGAGTAATGACAAAATAAAGAGTGGGCAGAATAAGAACAGCATGGATCATCAAGCCGATGATGACCGTGATGGTATACATGCCCAGCTGGCCACCCATCTGGGTCAGATCGTCCATCTCCACAATCTTTCCTGCAATCAGGAACAAGATGCCAATGGGAGCATACCTGAGAAGAAGTGAAGAGTAGTGCGTTACTGCAGATAACTTTCATGGTGGACAGGGAACTGCTTTTTATTCAAAACATTTCCCAGTGAAATCTCAGATGTTTTACCACATAATGATGGCGACCAGGCGCATGATGGCTTCGTTCAGGCTGTCAAAAAAATCCCGCAGGAGCTGGCCCTGCTCTTTCATGTTGCCAATGATTAGACCAAAGCACATGGAAAAGACCACCAGCCCGAGAGCATTGACCCCGTTCACTTGACCTGGCACCGGGATAACTTCCTCTCTTGTGATCTCCATGGTCTCCTGGGTGCCGTTGGTTGAGTTAAAGAGGGTGTCATTCACAGTCACCGTCACATGAACTGTTCGTTTTCCATATTTGGTTTTGAACTGGAGAATGGGAGAATTAAAGGAATAAGGTTAGACGAGCGGAACAGATGACCTTCTCAAACTTCACTTATGGAGTTTTTATTTCGTTCCCTAAGGATTCATCATGAATTGAGAAAAGTTCATCAGGACAAACTCAAACTCCTGACCTCACCCTTCACGGCTTGCTTCAGAATCAGAATGAGAATACTTTAATAATCCCTAAGGAAATTATGTGGGTTATAGTTGCTCCAAGACAATAACAGTAACAGACTAAACTGATGAAATAATACAATATATTAAAAAGTTTACAAATATTAGTAAGAGCTGTAATATAGATACAAATAGTTCAATTTAAATATCAAGAATATCAGAGAGCTGATATATATATATATATATGATTGACATTTAATTCTAGCCTGTGAAACTTTGTCATTTGTTATTTTACTGTAGAGCATGTACAAAAGGGTGTAACTATTGCAGTGTGTACTGTGCATTAGATGGAAGAGTTGTACAGGGACAGACCTGCTGACATCATGGGGTATCAAGATTAGCTGTAAAAGTTCAGCACGCAACAAATGAGAGAGTTTAGATGTAAATGGCTTAAAAGTGTTTATATTGTTTTAAAAATAGGCGCAGTAATATTACTCTGACGTTGTCTCGTCCACCATCATTTAAAAAAAAAAAAATCAGTAAGACTTATAATTTCTATTCAAAGTCCTTCTTCACCATCACCAGTAAACCCTCTGGGGTTTGGGTTTGGTTAATGTGCACCCATGTTTAGAGAGTTTTAGTTTTTAGAGGGAAAAATCTGCCCCTAACTGCTTCTTTATCTCATATCAGGATTAAAAATGGACTCCAGTTTGAGTGTCCCTGTCAAGCATTAATTTCTCATCAGGTTCCTCTTCCGAGTGAGCATGGTTTGGTTCTGATCTACTGATAATCAAGACCAGCTCTTATACAAAAACCTCTCCACCGTCAACATCTGCACAACTTTTATTTAGAAACTTTTTGCAACCAGAAAAAGGCTCATCTTTCCTAACTGTTGTCTCTCTCTCTGTAAAATCAATGAATCTCGGAGTCTCTCACTGATGGATCATTAAAACATGATCGTACACGTGTGTCTTCAACCCCGCTGCTTCAGCAGCAGCAAAACCTGCCAGGTTACAAAAATCGAGGGGTGCACGACCTGCAGAAACAACAGTAAACCAGCAGCTTCATCAGTGGATATGACGCCACTTTTGTCATATGGCGCCATTAGCCAGCGTGAAAGTGGTGAAGAAGAGCAAGAAGAGTTCTTTAACTTTTCTCATGAATGTAAATGTCAATTATTTAAATGAAACTTTTTAAACAAAAGCTAAGTGTTTTTTGGACTGCTGGTAAAGTCATCTTCAGTGCCTTCACTTAAAAGTGTACGTCACTTTAATGTTCAGGCTGGATCTGACTGCAGTGTATACCAGCTCAGCCTGATGGCACGGTCAGGGAGGCTGTGTAAAGTGAGACATTCATGTGAATGGAGCTGAAATCACAGCACAGCCATCGTCTCACTTCTGTGTCTGCTGATTTTGTCAGATGAAGCTCTGAGTTTGGGATGTTTGGAGCTGTTCTGTTGTCTCCTGGAAACCAGTGAGAGGTAAACTTCTGCATCTCTATGTGAATGAGAGGGTGAAGAAGAGGTGAGAGGAGAGAGGTGAAAAGGAGCGAGCTGTGGGTTCATTTCGGGTTCATGCTGAAAGATTCTTGGTGCTGTAATCGTTCAGTGAGCTGGAGTTGGCAGGAAGGAAAATTTCAGACCCAGTGAGAGCTTCAGGGTGACATCAGGTTAAAAAGACTAGTAGCATGTCAAGTTTCATCAGCGCTTAAAGACTGAGCTTTGTTCACCTGAAATTTCCAAGCACTCTGTACACACCAACATGTAGTTGGAATAAACGATCTATGATCCAGGTGGAGAGATTAACATGCCAACATTTCTGTTCCAGTGATAAAAGCTGCAGGAGCTAGTTTACCAGGTATAAAAGATAAAGCTCACCTGTTGCGTGCAGGCTTGGACCAAGTTTGGTGGGAACATATTTCTGAAATGAGAAAACAGGTCATTCTGAGACAGCGTGGACTAACTTCAGTTAAAACTGTGACAGCATCACTGATGTAGCTACCTGATCAGGTCCAGGAAGGCATCGGCAGGACTGACTTGCTCGATGGTCTGCTGCTTCCCAAACTCATCTTTAGAGCCTTTTCCTGGGTGGATGATGAGCACGATGATAATACCGATGAACACTGCGATAATGGTTGTGGTCATGTAGTAAATTACGGCTCTCATGCCCATCTTTCCTGAGGCTTTGCTGTCCAAAGCTGCCATTCCTGATGGAAAGAGGGCGGTATATGTTTGATCATTAACACAGTTTTTCCGGATCACAGTAGGAATGTTATGAATTAATCGTCTAACAACATATGAGTTTAATGGATGAACATTTGATGGTTTAAAAAACAAATCCTGTCAGAGAAAAACAGGTATTCAGTGAGAGAGGAGAGGGATGACTTATTTTAGTATTAATGGTTAATGGTAATGACTGACTTAGAATTCAGCTACATATTTCAACCCTGGAGGTCGATGCTTGGTTACAGCAGAAAATAAAGTTCAATTTTGCCTCTTTTGTTAGTGAATCAGTGGGAACCTCTTCATCACCAGACCGGGCTGAAGGCTGACTCTCAGTGAGTATTAGTTTGTAAGGACGACCTCCCTCTGAACCACCTCCATCAGCTCAGCTGGGACACTGCTGATCTTTTCATGGTGTGAAAATTACTACATTTTGTGTCTGTCAGGTTATTACAGCCCTGCATGTACAGTCATTATGTTGTGAAGTCACACAGTAATGCACACCATCCATCAGTGCTTACCTGTAATTTAAAGATATTTTCACAATCCTCAAAGATTTCTTGAGGTGAAAATGCTATAAAAAGGATTTTAACATAACCCAAACCCCACCTAACCCCGAGGGAGCTTAGTAAAACTAACAAAGAGTTTAGGCCTAATTTAGAGGTAACATCTTCTCAGCCAAAGTCCGGACGATGATGTTAAGAGGTTTTAAGGAAACAGCTTAATAACAAATCATACTGAGGTTAAAGGTGAACGTAGCTGATGACAGCAGTTTTTGCCATCACAGTTACAAACCACTTTACTGACTGGTTGGTCACCATTTCTTTTCCAAACTTGGAGGATGACCACTGAGCTGTGCACTGTACCTGTTATTAGACTGGAGATCAGCAAAGGCAGGACCAACATCTGCAGCATCCTCATCAGCAGCTCACCAGGGAAGGAGAAGTACTTCACTTCTCGATAGGTCATTTTGTAGGGGCGCAGCGCGAATCCGAGAACGATTCCTGCAGTCAGAGCACGTTCCTATTAACAACTACAAAACTGAAGAGATGTCTCTGTTTTGCAGCAGGTGTACATACCTACAATAACTGCTCCAACTGTGAAGAGCACAAAGGAGTTCTTCTTCAGGAAGGCCTGAACGTCCTCTTTAGAGATCTCCTCCACTTTTCTCTTGGCCTTCATGGTGCGAATGTGAATGCTTTCCCTGATGCGCTGCATCCTGCTGAAAATATGAAAAATGGAAGCATGATGTCACTAGGTTCGTGAACCTAGATGGTTTCAGAACTCACCAGTACTGAAGCACTGGCTCATTACTGAGGCATCCGTCAAGGATCCACCTTCTTATATTTTCACTATACATGTTACCCACAGGATCTGTCTTTCAGAAACTCAGTATTCAGTCTCACTCTTTTTGATGATGACACTGAAATCCAAAAACTTAGTTCAACTAAATGACAGCAAACCTGAACAGAGTACTCCCCACCCCAGATGTACCAGTGTCTTTGTGAAGCTGCTCGGCCCTCTTTACGTTCAAACTGTAGTTAAGATCTTAAAATCAAAACAAAAAGAAAACAACAATAAAAAAACAACATTAACCATGTTGTATTAACCATTTAACCTTCTTCTTCTTCCTCTCCCTGATCCCTAGCTGGCGTTAGGCCTGGATCAACTCCTAAGCTCATATGCTGCTGTGGGTGCCAGTGGTTGTCAAATTTCCTTCACAACTCGTTTCCATGCATTGCGATTGTTGGCGATTGTCCTGGTCTCGTTGAGACTTATTCTGCGATCTCTGATGTTTTAGCCATGTTGTCTTCGGTGCCGTTCGTTGGATTCTCCACTGGGTTGGTCGTTTTACGCCAGAGGAGTTTGGTACTTGGGTTTGTTTAATATCCAGCCCATTGTATAGAATTATTTCCCTACTTTGAAACAACTAAATATCTTTTAACATAAAAAATGCAAGGTCCCAATTAATGTGTGAGATTTCATCTGAAAGGTAACATGATCTAATTTCTGAAACTGTGCCTGTGCCACGGCATGTGGCTGAAACACAAACTGCCCCAACCTGAGACGGGACACCTATGACCTGATAGGTGCTGAGAGGGGAAACCCGTCACATCAAAAGTCTCAATTATACATCTGCGATCTTGCTTGGGTACGAGTGACGTAAATGTTGTCATCTGATCGTGAGTGTGAGGGTCTGTGTGGACCTCCCACTTTGGGACCACATACTCATCTTTGGAGAATTTACAGTACAATTCATCCCAGGCAATGGACATCAAACATCAGATAAGCGGCACTGAGACTCCAGCTGCCATGTCCGCAGAGTAATCAAGGCAATATTCATCACGGATGATAATCTGAATCCCTAACTGTTCTCCCAAGGCTTCAAAATCAGATGACAGAAAACATAATAACTCTATCAGACATAAAAGACATATTTTTCCTAGACCCAAGTACTTTTTTGCTCCAAAGTTAGGGTGACTTAGCCCTCTGAAGTATTTCTATTACCATTCTGTATTTCATTATCTCTTTCCTCTCTGAGGTCTAAGTTATCATCAGTAATGACCATCCCCAACCCTAACCCCGGGAGATAATAATGCATCTCATTTTTTAATTACATTTTTGGCAATTAGAGAGCAAACAAATTAATTATTCCAGCTGAAATTGAAAAAGTTGACCATCGCATGAGGAAAGGTTAAGGTAGGGTTACCATCTGTGATGGCTTAGATTCAGGCGTTTTAATCCAAATCAGAGATCGATGCTGCTCTTCACCTACCTGTTGGGTGTGGCGTTGGCCCTTCAGACGCTGAGGTTGACCCGGCAGGGAGAGAAAGCAGCAGAGGGACAGAGAGTCTGAGCGATGAAGCTCCTCGGTGTGGGAACCAGAGCTCGACTGCAACCAGAAAAGACAGGAGGGGGCATCCAGAGGAGGGGGGCGGGTGAGATAATGATCCTCCCATAATAACACTGTTAGCCCTGTGACACACTTTCAGGTAAAGCCCAGGTGGATGAAAAAGTTTCTGAGAAACATCACAGGATTGTTTCACTGACACATTATCTGCCTTTGAAAGTTCCAGCTCTTCCTCACCTCTAAACGCTCTTCCTCACCTCTTCTGCACTCCTCTCCTTCTTCAGCTTGAAGTGTGACTTTGATGCTCGGTTAGCATCCACATATTTATGTGAAAGGATGCCAATCAAACAATAAGCCGCGCCTCCCTCGGGACGTGGTATAGTTTGAGGTTACTCCTCGGAGTAAACGACGCACCACAATTAGCTGAACAAAGTGAAGCTGAGATGAAGAGCGACCTGACTGTATGGAAACATGTTCCCGTGGGGGGATGAGTATAATTAGTGAAGAATACCCCTGAAATCAGGTCGCCTAGCCTCCTACAAACACTGTTCCCCGGTCACTGTGGCAGCAGTGAATGAAGCAGGAGCATCGGCCTGTGACAGCTTTACTACACTCGCTACTATTTTTAATACTGCCCTTCGATACCTAAAAACAGGCTGAGGATGAGCTCAAAGCGGGATCTGACCGACAGAAACAGCAGCATCAGCTGATCATCTCAGAGAACCTGCTCTGATCTCTGACACGATGATGTTGTTAGTGAAGCTGGAGGCGAAGCTTTGGACTGCAGGCTGGGTTTACTTTATGCTGCTCTTGTTTCTCAGACCGAAACTTCTTCATTAAAGCCAGAAACAGTAAGATCTTGTGAAAATCGGTTTCATTTTTAGATCGCTGTCAGAAACTCTTCATCCAGTTGTAATGAAACTGGAGTCGTATGGATCCCACAATGTGTGACCTTTGACCTCTACTCTGGCCATGGAACTCACACTAAATATCTTTTTTGAGGTTTGACACACACACACACACACACACGCACACACACACACGCACACGCACACACCATACTGATAGTTGTTAACCACGCCTCCCTTCATTCCTGTGATTGGCTGCCCAGTATGCCACCCTGCCCTTAGACTTGGTGTTTTTCAGCTTACGTCACTTCTTCTTGTGCTTTTTAAATGTGTGCTGTGTTTCTTGTTAGATAAATGTTTTTAGCAGGAAGTGAGTTAAACACCTGAGGATGATGATGTTAGAGTGGGGGGTTGGACACGTTTACCCTTTGATGGTAATCGGAAATAAGAGGTGAGCTGCAAACACCTGTGCAGAGGACAGATGAGGCTGCAAGATGTTTCCTTGATACCGAGCTTCATGCTTCATATCATATACTGTGATGAAGATGAGGAGTTCTGCATTCAGCAGGAGCTTCGTCCCTGAACATGATCCTGACCCCGGGTTCACCTGCATCGCTCACACTTCATCAGACAGGAAGCGCTTACACACAGAGCAGCTGCTGGTGTGAGTGAGTGAGGCTCAGGTAGAGCGGCTTCATAAGAATCTTATACTCCTCCTCCTCTTCATCCCTGCCCTGAATGAGAACATCAGACTGTGTACAACACAAGAACAAAGCTTCAGACAGCAGACAGTTCACTCTGACCTTGCTCTGTGATTCCTGGGAACAGAGTGAGAAAAGAGTGAGTAAAGCCTGAAAATTCACGCACCCGAGTTTTTGTTGAACCTCCTGACAAATTAAATATAAATCTTACACCTGTTTCACATCTATGGGCATTTTTGTACCTATTTAAAAACTTTCCAGAAAAACTTATTTCAGTTTTTCTGAAAAAAGAAATCACACTGCTGATGCAGAACTCTCCAAAACTCCCCCAAACTCTCCAAAGCTCCCATATAAAATATAAATCTCCTGGTGTTCAGGGCCAAGCTCAGGTGAGGGGCTGCTCTCAAGTGCTGCCGTTTTTATGGCAGCAGGTTTTCCGTTGGGGGAGTTGATGAAGCATGACGGGTGCAGATGGTTATCAGCACCTTTGACCTCCGTGCTGATGAAGTCAGCAGAGCTGTGCAGGTTCACTGGTTCCTCTGGTCGAGCGTGCCTCCATCTAAACGTGGGAGCTGATAAGACACGTCGATTTTTCCACACCACCCACAAAACGCTGATGATGAGACAAAGAGCGAGTTTAACAAGATCCAAAAAAGAGAAGCCGAGCACTTCAGACAAACAAGACGAGGAGCAGAGACCTCTGATCACCTGTTCGCAGTTTCTGCTTTTATGGATAATCAAATAATGAAATGAAGGTCTTTGTTTTCACTGGTTCTCACTTTAAAGACATGTTTCATGATTGCTGTGTATAGGTTTCTTTTCCTTGTGCTTTTCTCGTCTTTAATAAAAGTTTACTTATTGATTATTCAGTGAAACACGTCTGACTCTCATTATGATGCATCAATTATCAACGAAATTAAAATGGTTTCATGAGTTTTTAGATGAGATTCTGACATTTCTGTGGATGGCACACATACCTATATTTAAATAACAGATCTGGCAATACATCACGTTAAACCAGATGTTCTCCCTCTCGCCCTGATACCGGGGACATTGGGGTTCAAACAATTAAAATGCATTGATATAGTTTACAGTTAACATACGCTTTTAAGCAGAAAACAGTAAAATTATTTTAAGACAATCATGCAGAAGCTCTCAATGTGGTGAGCCACATTTGGCCTGCAGCCTTCAGTTTGAGACATGTGCTGTCAGGTAAGGACCTATAATAACACAGAGAAACCAAGAGCATGAGCTTGGCGACAGCGGGAAGGAAAAACTCCTGTCAAGCAAGAAGAAACCTCTAGCAGAACCAGGTTCATGAGGGACGGCGACCGGCTGCTGGTGAAAACAATAACATAATTGATTTTATACACAAAACCTGATTAAATATAATTTTCTCATCAACAGCACATTACTTATTGAAATCTGATTAGATTATCAACAGATCACCATAAAGATACGCAAACTTGGGTCCACTTGCTACATTTGCCAAACCTCCTGTCAGGAACCTTGGTGTAACTAAGCTCTGACTAAATCTCTGGTCCGCTCCTGTTTTTATCACTTGAGAAACATTGCTAAGCTGAGTCCCATTGTATCACGCTCAGAATTATGAATTGTCATTCATGCATTTGTTTCATCTCATCTGGATTATTGTAATTCTTTGTTTACTTGTTTATGTAAAGCCTCTTTGGAGCGTCTGCAAGTTGTTGCAAGAACGCTGCTGCAAAGCTTCTGACCAAGTCCTCCAAGTACTCCCATGTCACACCCCTGCTGATCCAGCTGCAGTGGCTCCCTATTAAATTCAGAATCCACTTTAAGGTTTTGACCTTGACTTTCAGGGCTCTGCATGGACAAACACCAACATATATCAGTGAACTTTTACATCCATACATTCCCAGCAGGTCCCTGAGGTCATGTGATCAGGGCTTGCTGGTTGTCCAACACATGAGGCTGAAAACAAAAGGCGACAGAGTTTTTGTAACTGTGGCCCCCAGACTGTGAAACTCTCTCCCTTTGAGCCTGAGATCTGTGGACTCAGTGGTTGATTTTAAAAAAACAGCTAAAAACTCATCTTTTTAAACTTGCTTTTGGTTGATATTTATTTATATGTTTTAGCTTCTGTGAAGCACTTTGTGGTTTTTATCTTGAAAGGTGCTATATAAATTAAATTTTACTTTTTCTTTTTTACTTTACAGCAATCACACACACACACACAAAGCACGGATCCCACGTACAGGACATGTCGATCCGGTACGGAAACTGGACATCTCACAGATTCCCAAAGTCCAGATTTCATCACTCTTCAATCAAAATTCACTGAATCAGCAGCAAAAGTAGATCAAAAC